AGGTCGAGACTGTGGCGCGAAGACTTCGTCCAGAAGCTGCTGGAGCTGCCAGACTGCCGCATGGTTACGTGCGATGCCGGGGCTTATGGTGCTGAAACTACCAAGGGCGAGCCCGTTGTGAAACCGCACCGGTGGATCACCAACTCCGACTTCCTGGCGGACAACCTGTCGAGAAGGATGACTGCCGAGCAGAAGCAGTACTGCGTCACGATCAAGGGCAACGAGACCGAACGCTCGGGCGCTTACTGCGACGGCCTTGTCGACGCCGTCCTGAACGGCATCTACCAAGAGGCGAGAAGGAGGAACCCGGCACGCTTTACCAAAAAGGCCTATGAGGTGATGTTCGCGCGACCTGTCCCCGATGCCGAGGCATGGAGGTCACTGCTGGATGAGGTGGAGTCCCGCTTCACGAACAGCAACAAGAAGCCGTTCACATTGCCCGACAACGACCCCATGCTGAAAGCCATCAAGGAGTTGGTCCCCTGGGAGATTACGCGAGCTCAAGCTGCATGGCTACCACTTGCTCGACGACTACCTCAAGAGTTTCCTCACACTCACCGCGGAGCCGCGCTGAGGCTGACCTCCGGCGACTTCCAACTTGAGGCCGAGGACTTGTCGTCCATCAAGTACCCCAAGCAGCGCTACCAAAATCCAGTGCGCGTTGCGGTGTTCTTCTTCGGCTTTCCAAAGACCAAGGCCGAGCTCCCTGAACAAGATCCCGGAGTACAAGAACAGCCGCCGCCCCTGCCAGGTGATCAAGCCGAAGCTGCACCTTCTCAACGTCAACTTCGACTCGCCGGCTTTGACACTGAGATTTGGTTCGAAGATCCGCCTCGAGAGGTTGATCGCAAGCTTCAATATTCGTTGGGGCGGCTCCACGTCAACATGGGCCACGCACGTGAGGATGCTTGCTGCTGCAGGCAACCTAAGCAAGAAGGTGCTGACTGGCTTGGATTGCTTGTAATGTGGAAGCTGCTTGCGAACCCGTCAGCCACGACCACCACCTACCTCGTCAACTCTGAGCAACTACTCCGGCTACTTCGGCGAGGTCCTTCAGTCCGACGTGGTCTACCTCCGGATGATTAATGGCGAGAATGTTCCACCTGCGAGGCAACCTCATATCATGCCGCCAAGGTCCTGGAGTCGCGACAACCGGCACATGTTTTAGCAACATTGCTGGAAATATGGTACCGACCTCTTGGACTACCTCTACGCTTCAAGACGGACCCCGGCGGCGAGTTCGGTGGCAAAGTAACCACGTTCCACATGCGCCACGGCGTCCTGCGCGAGACGGTTCCTGCCGAAGCTCACTTCCGCATCGGCAAGATCGAACGGCGCAACGCCTTGATGAGGAGCCTCGTCGAACGCGTGGTTGACGAACGTGGTCTCGACCAGTGCTTGATTGCCGTGCTGCGCACCATCAATTCGTGTACGTTCTCACACGGAAGATCACCGGCCCAAGCAGTGTTTGGACGTGTGCGCGGCCTCTCGGAGACCTGGTGAGCGACCCCTTCAGCCTCCGGGCCTGATGCGACCCGAGATCCTTCGAGCAGAGGCTATGAAAGCCCTTGCAGAGCACACCGCCAGCTCAGCCATACGCAGAGCGGTGCTGAGGAAGGCTCATCACCAACAGAACCTTCGAGACTTGCAGCCCGGCCAGGCAGTTGCGTTCTGGCGGTGGTCTGGAAGGTCGAGGCAACATAAACGTGGAGCCTGGGCCTTAGCAAGGTTTGTCTCCCACGATCCCGACAACAAGTCCGTCTGGCTTCAAGTCAACACCACCACCGTGAAGGTTGCGAACAATCAGGTTCGTGTGGCCTGTGGATGGGAAGAGTGGACACCCTCTCCAGAGGACATTGCCATCCTCAAAGACGCTGAGCGAAACCTCCGCGACAACCTCTGGGAAGATCAACGAGAAGAGCCTCCCACAGCATTGGAAGACGCAACGGCAGAGCTGGCTGGTCAACTTCCTGCCCGACCTGCACCTCTACCTGTTCGCGATCAAGATTACTGGCGATACGTCGACAACCGCTTCATCCGCGTCCACGTGGTTCCCCGCTACGAGCTGTACATCCCCGTGCCGGGCGACTGCGACTTCAACGTGGACGACCTTGCGGACGCCAGGCAGACGCACATCCACGAGCACGAGGAGCAACCCGAAGAAGACCAGTGGCGAGACCCCAGGTGCGCAAGAAGCTACAATGAGGCCTGGACCGGTACCGCAACCTTCTTTCGGAAACAACATCCTGCAGAACAACCTCGCGCTCTTCGAATGCCTACGTCGTCCGCTCTGCAACAACCTCACGACTACCTGCTCAACGGCAAGTTCACTCACGAGGAGCTGGAAGCGGTGACGGACCGAGGCAGACAACGGTTCAGCAGCAACAGACGACGGTTCAGCAGCAACAGACGGCGGTTCAGCAGCAACAGACGGCGGTTCAGCAGCAGTCCAACGTGCAGAACTACTACGACAACAGGTCCCTGACGTTCCAGGTTCCAGCATCACCAGGAGCAGTGCCATCTTCACCGGTTCCACCTACGCCTCGAGGCAGACCAAGATCACGTACACCGTCACGGAGGACAAAAGCGCCAGCTGAAGCCAAACGAGGCGAACGTCAGGCTACTGCAGCTGAACCACAGGCAGCGACATACGTGCCAGCACCGGTGACTCCAGGAGGACTCCCTTTCAGTCCAGGTGTGCCAGAGACACCTCCCTTTAGCGCTCCGGCACCTGGAACTCCAGCTCAACCAGACGTACCACCTTTGAGTGCCACCGCCTTAGACGATGGCCTGAGCATGGAGCGCAACGGCTGCCCACCAGCAGCCACGACTTGTCCCGTGATGGGACAACACAACAACCTCAGGTTCCTGTGACAAGCACGCAACCTGCCTCAGAGGGCACGGCAAGGGCAAGCACCGACGCACCACCTCCACAACAAGAGCAGCAACTACCACAGCTACCTCAGAAACGCGCAGCTGACGTGCTGCTAAGTGGCATCTTCGAACTTTGTGTCGATGACTTCGGCGAGGCAGTCCTGCAGCGTGCCGACGAGACCGTGGACATGCCCATCCCGTTTCACAACGAGACCTACTACAAGGCCTACTTAGCCAGCAAGCAACGCGTCAACGACCTCAAGAAGGACGGCGTCAACGAAGACCCAACACGAGAGGACGCTTCCTCTTCTGAAGACGAGAGCAAGACAGTGTCTAACAACAGGACACACACCCGCCAAGAGCTCAAGCAACTGGACAGAGAGCTGCCCTGGAAAGAGCTCACTTCGCAACCACGTGCCCAGTACGAGAAGTACCTCGAGTCTGTCCGTACCGAGGAGGACAACTGGATGCGATGGGGCGGGATTAAGCCACTTTCTCATAAAGAGGCTGACAAGATCCTCAGTGATCCCAAGCTCTCCAAACGAGTGCTCAAGTCCCGGGCGGCGTACCGAGACAAGAACAAGGGCCTGGGAGAAGTGACGGCCAAGTGCAGAGTGGTCCTGATTGGATGCAACGACCCCGACATCTTCAAGGTGACCCGCGACTCGCCAACTCCTTCAA